AATAAATTGTCCATATTATGCATAAAGTCCCAATGCAGTATTCAGTGCAAACATAATCCACACAAAAAGTGATAAATCTGTGACACCATAATTGTGTTCTATCTCTCCACCACACAGAAACTCACCACACTCTGCAGAGGCTATTGACCACTTTATTTAAAAAGAAGTCTAAAAGCTCTTGCTTAGTACCAACTGGTCATCACCCACATTTGGCTGTGCTTCTCCAATCGCTCTCTAGCCCATTTTCTTATGCATCACGTGCATATGGGTAAATACATGGACAGTACACTTTAAAAACGCCCCTGTGCCTTTAATAGACTCAATGGCATGTCCTGTTCACATAGAAAGACAAATAAGGGACCCTCTTATAGAGTAATGCCATCAGTTTAATACGAAAACACAAATAAAATGCACTTACATATGATAAAAACATATGGGCATATAGTTACAGCATAGGAACGCCAACTTGAATTCCAATAAGTGACGTGTCTCGGAAGTCCCACCCTGAATGTTTCTTCAGCAAGCATCTGACGTCATCGGGGCTCACCTCTGCTTATATATACGGTCAGCTCCTACAATATTGCACTTGACTCAATACAGTGAGAATCAAAGGCATCCTTAATAATAAACTCAAAACATAATAAATTCAATCAATTGAAGGACATTGAATATTAAAAATAATCATTGGGCCATCCTTTTTTTTTGATCTACAAAGTTTAGATTATAAAAATTATAGTGTAGCCTATATTTTTCATATCAGTTTATATTATGGGGACATCTAGAGGCCAAACATTTATAACAAATAGAACATTAATACAGTCTAAATGAATTTGTGAACAGAGGACATCTTGTGATTCAAAAAAGAGAACGGACTATTTAGGTTTCATATTGTGATTCAATGGGACGAATTTAGTGCAACATGTGAGATACATATATTTACATATATCACAAAATATTTATTATTATGCTAAAAGTAAAAATTAAAATTACCCAAAAATTATTGTTATAAAAATGTAAATATTATGAAAAAACAAAAAAAAATTCAATAATTAGATATAAAACAATTCAGATTAATATCCAAATTAAGACCAACAGGTCTCAGGGTGTCTAGGCAGAGCCTAAAGTGATTGGACACACTGTGTTTGGGAAAGCCTTTTTTAATATTATTTGTGTTCACTTATTCTGATACCTAATTTCCTCGTGGTGTGAACCACATAATACATTTTACAAGAACAGCTTAGCAGGTAAATTAAATGTTTGCTCTGACTAGTGATTAATTTATCAACCTTGTATTCCCTATTCATGTACTGGACTTAAAGGATGTGAAATTTCTCTCTCTACTCCTTACTGTTTTGCATGAGGTACACCTCCCAAAACAGTCTCATGCAAAACAGTAAGGAGTATAGAGAGAAAGATCACTTTCTTTAAGTCCAGTAACACAAATAGGGGATATAAGATTGATAAATTCACTTGTCAGAGCACTAATGTAACTTACCTGCCAAGATGTCCTTGTGGAATGCAATATGTGGGTTGCACCACAAGGAAATTGGGTGTCAGAATAAGTGAACACATCAATAATATTAAAAAAGGCTTTCCCAAACACAGTGGGGTATATTTACTAAAGCTGGAGAGTGCAAAATCAGGCCCACTTCTTCACAGAAACCAATCAGCTTTCAGGTTTTTTTGTCAAAGCTTAATTGAACAAGCTGAGGTTAGATGCTGACTGGTTTCTATGCTCAAATGAGCCTGATTTTGCACTCTCCAGCTTTAGAAAATAAATCCCAGTGAGTCCAATCACTTTAGGCTCTACCACAATAGGGATCATTAGGATTGAGGGAAACTGGAGGGGTAATAACATGAAACAAGCAGTGTCCATGAATGAAGCCAAATGGATTTTTGAGCTAAATACCCTCAGTCCTGTTGACCTTAATTTGGATATTGATCTATTATTTATTTATTTCAGGTACTTCCTGTATATAGCACCGTCTATTTACGCAGCGCTTTACAGATATATTGTACATTCAGATCAGTCCCCAACCTTCAAGTGGAGTACAATCTAAGGTCCCTAACTCACATTCATTCATACACATACTAGGGCCAAATTAGACAGGATCCAATTAACCTACCAGCATGTCTTTGGAGTGTGGGAGGAAACCGGAGTACCCAGAGGAAACCCACGCAGGCACAGGGAGAACATGCAAACTCCAGGCAGGTGGTGCAGTGGTTGGAAATCAAACCTACCAGCCTAGTACTGCCAGGCGGAAGGGCTAACCATTTAGCCACTGTGCTTGCTTGATCTTGATCTGAAATGTTTTATATCTAATTATTGATTATTTTTCCTTTTTTTTTTTTATAGTACATACATTTTTATAACAATATATTTTAGTACTTCTAATTTTTACTTTTAGTGTAATTAAAAAAAATTTTTTTGAGGTATGTAAATATTTTATGTATCTGACATGTTGCACGGAATTCTTCCCATTGAATCACAATATAAAACCTAAATTGTCATTCTCTTTTTTAACCACAAGATGCCCTCTGTTCACAAATTAATTTAGACTGTAGTGATGTTCAAGTTGTCATATATTTTTATTGGCTTCTAGAGGTCCCCCTAATATAAGTCAATGTGAACAATATAGGCTATATTATAATTTATTTAATCTAAACTTTGGAGATAAAAAATAGAGGATGACCCAATGATTACATTTAATATTCAATGTCCTTCAGTTGAGTTTGATGATCTATTATTAAGGATGCTTTTGTTTTTTATTGGATTGAGTCAAGTGCAATATGTTGGAAGCTGACCTTATAAATAAGCAGAGGTGAGCCTGGTGAAGTGACCCTTGATGATATTAGACACTTACTGATTAAACGCATGGGGCGGGACTTAAGGTACACGTCACTTCTGCTTGTTGGAATGCAGGTGGAACACAAACTAGCATTCCTTTGCTGTAACTATGTGTTTTTACGATATGTAGGTGCTTTTTATTTTCATTTTCGTATTAAGCTGATGGTATTACACTATGAGAGTCTCTCTTTCTATGTGAATGGGACATGCCATTGAGCCTCTTAAAGGTGTAGAAGCGCTACTAAAGTGTCCTGTCCATGTATTTATCCATATGTACGAGATGCATAAGAAAATCGATTAGAGATCAATGGAGAGCTGCAGCCACATGTGCAAAATGACCAGTTGGTACTAAGCAAGAGCTTTTAGACTTCTTTTTAATTAAAGGGACACATTTGCAAGCACAATCTTGTCTGTGAAAATTTATGAAAGTGCGGTCAATCCTCGAGGTTTTGTTGTTTTCTAAGTATAGTTCCAATTTAATTTCCTAGCAAGAGTAAAGCTGACAATATGGAAATTAGCAGCTGTTACAGGATAATGGACAGTGGCCCAGTAAGCTACATAAATTATTTAGCCACTTGCCTGCTGGGCACTTTTACCCCTTTCCTGCACAGGCCAATTTTTAGCTTTCAGCACTGTCGCACTTTGAATGACAATTGTGCGGTCATGCAACACTGTACCCAGATGAAATTTGGATAAATTTTTTCACACAAATAGAGCTTTCTTTAGGTCGTATTTAATCATCACTGGGTTTTTTTATATTTGTAAACACAATTTTGTCTGTGAAAGTTTATGAAAGTGCAGTCAATTCTTGAGGTTTTGTTGTTTTCCAGGTATTCTGGAATTTTACTTCATTTAACGTCTATTTGGGGCACTGTACTATGTATATTTTCTATTTAATTATGTGTTTATTCATCTACTTATTTTTCTATGTATTTATTAGTTTTGTACGGGTGTGGGGTAATCACACTGGAACTAAATTTAACATAATAACTACCAACAGGCAGATCTTTATTAAAGGGAGGACATTTCTCTTCTGCAATATCACACAAGAAGTTGAAAGCCCGGCACTGGAAGTATGCGGGGAAAAGATGAGTGCAGGCGGCAAGAGATATAAGTGCTGCAGGTGGAGGTGAGTATTTTTGTAAGTTTAGTTCTGCGTTAAACAGAATTTATACACAATTAAAACTAGGTGATTTGAAGCGGAACTATGCTCACCCATTGTCCAGCTATGCTGACATTTTCAGCCTGCCAGCTTCTGGGTATCGATCCCAAGCCATTTTAATTGGCTGGCCTGAGGTGTCCTATGTGCGCAGCTCAGTATACAGCGCAGACTGGCAGGTAAAGGAACTTTAATGTCACTTCTGCATTAAAAATCCTATCTGTCCACAATTTTTCATTAAAGTTCCACTTTAGGCAGCTCCATATGTGCAGCCTATAGACAGATATAGACAGAATAATTTAAAAAACAATATATAATGCCCATATCACTGGGTCAGGTGTTATTTTAGCTGAGCATTTAGATTTTCAATAATTTTGCATGAATGTATTTGCTAAAAGCCTTGTTTTTTCTCATGAAGTTGTATTATATCACCACCTTAAGGGCCCATTCACACCAGATGCAGAAGAATCGATTTCTGACTGCATTCCAACAGCATAGACAGTCTAAAATCCAGGTTATCCTATGGGCATAGTGCACGGGCAGTGGAAAAAGTACAGCAATCTGCATTTTTTTTGCACTGCAAAAGCACAGAAATGCATGTAAATGCACGAAAATGCAGTTCAATGGAGTGCAGAGCACATAAAAGCCCAAAGAAGAAAGAAGGCGAAAGTGACCTCAAAGGACATGCAGGCTTAGGAAAAGTGCAGCACAAATGCATGCAAATGCAGGTAAAATACGTGTGTCAAATGCACGTCACCACACATGCAAAAACACACAGTAAAGGTGCACATCCAGGGGCGGACTGACCATTTGGAAACTCGGGCACTGCCGAGGGCCCGGGGTCAGTAGGGGGCCCCATGACATGCCCCCGGTACCTTTTTCATAGATTTTGAGTTTTGGCAAGGACACAGGGGCCCCATGATCCCCTATTGCGGGGGGCCCCATGAGTTTTCAGTCCGCCCCTGTGCACATCCAAAGCTTTTTTGGACATACCGGTACTTCTCTTCTGGGTCATGGGAGTGCTTTTGTTTTCCTGTGACCCTGAGTCTGCTGATAGCAGGCCATTGCCCGATATCAACTGATATGGCAGAGCTACTCGAGGCTAAGGAAGGTCCCAACAATATTGTTATGATCCACTTGGCTGCCTGATTGACAACTGGCTTTGCCTCTCAGCGCATGGCAGAGAATTGGAGTCAGCTGGACAGTGAGCAGTGACTGACAGTACTCCAAGTTGTACTTAGCGATGAGAGGTCATGTCTTACCAGCCAATAAACGACAGATGCAACACAGAGGTGAGCATGGATGTTTATTGTTTTTTATATACCCATACATTTCTCTTCCTGACCTCCTCAGTAGACACCTTATTGAACCTCACAGCTATTGCTACCTTGAAGCTAGCAGCATTTTACAGGTCTGTTTTTGGACGCGTGTATTGTAATAAAGGGTTAGCCTTATTACTTAAAAGTTCCTATGTTTCACCTTTCAGATATGCTGGTATGTTACAATAATTCAGTCAACTCAAGAGTATAATAAAAAAAAGGAATTTACTTAGTTTGGTTTAAAGATGTATTACAGATGATAAAAAAAATAGATAAATACAGCATATTCAATCCAGGTGAAGTTTGCAACTTCTTCCTTTGAGGTTTTGGGAGGCAATAATCCTTGATTCATACTTTAATATGAATCTAACCCCACTGACTCTTTTCCATACAAGCATATACCAGTATACAGCAGTTCAAAAATCTAGTCAAAACTGGTTTTAGCCACACCGCAAAATGAAGAGGTCAAAGGTTCCCAACTTCCCACAGGATAATGAGACCACATGTCTCAGTATACATGAGGCCATATGTTCCAGTACACATTAGACATACTATATATATATATATATATATATATATATATATATATATACATATATATATATATATATACAGTGGGGCAAAAAAGTATTTAGTCAGCCACCAATTGTGCAAGTTCTCCCACTTAAAAAGATGAGAGAGGCCTGTAATTGGCATCATCTGCATGGAGCAATGGGCCAACATACCAGCAACAGTGTGTGCCAACCTTGTGAAGACTTACAGGAAACGTTTGACCTCCTGTCATTGCCAACAAAGGATATATAACAAAGTATTGAGATGAACTTTTGATATTGACCAAATACTTATTTTCCACCATAATTTGCAAATAAATTCTTTCCAAATCAGCCAATGTGATTGTCTGGATTTGTTTTCTCATTTTGTCTCTCATAGTTGAGGTCTACCTATGATGCCAATTACAGGCCTCTCTCATCTTTTTAAGTGGGAGAACTTGCACAATTGGTGGCTGACTAAATACTTTTTTGCCCCACTATATATATATATATATATATATATAAAAATATATAGAAATAATTACATATACACTAACATAATTGATAACACAAAACTGCTAGTAAGTTTCCTGTAAATCAAAAACTATTCAAAACCCACACTACATGCATGTATGGACCAGGGGCAGACTGACAACTCATGGGGCCCCCGGGCAATAGGGGATCATGGGGCCCCTGTGTCCTTGCCCAAACTCAAAAAAGCCTATGAAAAAGGTACCAGGGGCATGTCATGGGGCCCCCTACTGACCCCGGGCCCTCGGGCAGCGCCTGAGTTTCCAAATGGTCAGTCCGCCCCTGGTATGGACACATGTATGCATGCACAAATCTGTGGAAACACACATACAGTTGAGAACTAGAGCATTTTTCTTCAAGGGCCAGTGTTTGGTAAAGAAGAACTAAAAGCAAAACTTTCTTTTTTTTTATTTTGGATAGAGTAAGGAAGGGTTATAACCCCTGTCACATTTTGATGTGCTGTTTGTGTTCTATTATAGAGATTTCCCTTCACTTCCTGTGAGCTAAAACATGAAGTGAGAGGAAATCCCTCCTAACTTCCTTGTTGTCAGCAGAAACTAGAGTCCCCGTTGGAAGATTTCCCTGTTATAAGATAAAATATACAGTAAGCGCTCAATCAATAGTGGCAGCAGCTGAACATACAGGAAAACGCATATAAAGTCCCACAATTCATATATATAAAAATGCAGCGCTTGAAAAAAAGTGATAATAAAAACACAGTCCAGTGGAAAAATGTGCTCCGTATATCCTAGTGCAAGTGGTAAGGATTTACACTAACCAGATAGCGTAAAAATATACGCATGTGTATATATATCCTGTAGAGTCCCCTTCTCCCCTCAGATCTGGTCAAGTGAGTAGCCGGAAAAGGTAGATATCCTACGCCCTCTTGTGGTAAAAGAGTGGTCCAGCAGATCAAAACAATATCAATCAGAATAAGCCTTCCCCCTTCACAGGAGTTGATAAGGAAATCCCTTGGGGCTGTAAAAGTTGAGGAAGCTCCTCACAGGGGACACAGGGAAACACTCATAGTGTAGTAAAATGGCCGCCGGGCCTCCTCGTGCCACGAGGAGGCCCGGCGGCCATCTTTAATACCAAGGGGTCAGTGTGTTCATCCTACCCTGCCTATACCCTATGTTTACTGTGCACTTATGTTTTCATAATAAAGCCTTACCTACTACACTATGAGTGTTTCCCTGTGTCCCCTGTGAGGAGCTTCCTCAACTTTTACAGCCCCAAGGGATTTCCTTATCAACTCCTGTGAAGGGGAAGGCTTATTCTGATTGATATCGTTTTGATCTGCTGGACCACTCTTTTACCACAAGAGGGCGTAGGATATCTACCTTTTCCGGCTACTCACTTGACCAGATCTGAGGGGAGAGGGGACTCTACAGGAATATATATACACATGCGTATATTTTTACGCTATCTGGTTAGTGTAAATCCTTACCACTTGCACTAGGATATACGGAGCACCTTTTTCCACTGGACTGTGTTTTTATTATCACTTTTTCAAGCGCTGCATTTTTACATATAAGATTTCCCTGTTATTCTGGTGACAATCCAAAATTTGGGATATTCTTTCACTCTCAGTGATGTTGGGAAAAATGTCAAAAAGAGACTATTGATCTCCCTAATGTGAGAACATACAGCAAAAAAAAAAACTGACAGGTATTTTGATCCCTCTCCATTCAACCCAAAACTAAAAATTTTTATTTTAAAAATGACTTTAACTATACTTTAAAGTTGAACTTTAGTCAGAAGATTGAAGTGCTACTAAACCCCAGACCCTGCATCCACTATATCTGGTCTCCCACAGTACATAGAACATAGAAATGCAATTATTTCAGTAAACACAAACTGCTAAATACCTTTTCTCATCAGCAGTTAGAGCAGTCATGTGACTTCTATCAATGTTCAGCAGAGCACTGGTTAAAGCTTGTAGGGGGAGTTTTCATTCTCCCCTGATTGTGCTATGAAGCTGCAGGACCCCTGACCCTCCGTCTAGACAGTGCCATGTGCTGATCCACATGCACTTTCCCAAGAAAAAAAAAACTCTCCGTAGCAATACACACCAATCTGAGCATGTGCAGCTTGCCCCCAAGGCTCTGTTCTATGAGAAGATGGATTGGGGACAGTAGAGGAAGGGTAGGATCAGAGAAGACAGGATCATGCAGCCTTTTTACACAATGCAGAGGATTAACTCCTTAGGTTCCACAGTGACTATAACAAGCATGCTTTAATGCATATACAGACTGATTTTACTTTTGTGGGTTTAGTAACACTTTAAGTTCTACTAGATGACTTCAGGCTGGCCCCTTTTGCAGGTATAGGTATGTAAAACAGTAAAGATAAGTGCCTATACTGTTTAAAATCCAGTAATACGCTGTCTCGCCCTGCTCCGCACATGCTCAGTTGCTCTCTATTCTTGGCACTGTGCTGAAAATCAGAGCCACTAGATGCTTAACTGCAATCAGCCTAAAGATTTACTGCTGCTCAGGGGTTCTGGGCTTCAGCAAAATGGCCACCTCCAACAAGAAGAAATAGAAACAATGCTGGAGGCAATTTACAGCATACATTCATTTTGGTGGCAGAATTATGAATGTGGAATGCATGTTCCTTGCTAAAGAACATTATTATGTATCAAGTTGTTATGGGTAAAGTTCTGCTTTGTTTTCCCAGAAGGACTCTAACTAGATTACTGGTCAAAACCTGGAGGCTTCCAGGGACGGTTAGCGGCAAGATGAGGATGCCATGAAAATCGGTATCCCCTGAAACAACTGCGCATGCGCCGGTTTAAAGCGAAGCTCCACCCAAAAGCCTTTGTCCCCCGCTCTCTATGAGCACCTTTGGTAATTGGAAACGGAAGGTGTCCTCCCCTCCTCAATCCCTGTAGTCTTCTGGGACACGTGACAGGTTCCAGAAGACTACGGGGCCATTCACAAAGCGCAGCTCTTCTCACGCATGCACAGTGGGCACCCGGCTGTGAAGCCGCAAGCTGTCACAGCCGGGTGCCCACACTAAAGATGCCGGCGCCTGGGAGAGAAGACGGCCGGTGAAACCAGCGGTGGTGAGGACACTGCTGGACCGAGGGACAGGTGAGTGGCTGTATTTTAAGTGAGCAGATACAGTTTTTGTAGCTGCTGACTTTTATTTTTTTTTTTCCAGGTGGAACTCCACTTTACAGCACGGCACTCAGGACCCAGAGAGGTTTCTGCAAATAGACCAGAATGGTCTCAGATGTCTGTAATACAAGGAGAAAATGTGACTTCTTCTGCAGGTCGATCCAAAGTCATCAGGAAACAATGAGCCCCAGATTTGGGACAGGCATTCAGGTCAGGAGTTCTGATTTCACTTGCTGCATGCTTGTTCTTGGTCAGGAAGTCCGAGGAACAAACATTTTCAGACGAGGGTGACAGTATGTTTTACTATTGACTGGAAGGGATAAAAACATAATATGTACAACCAGGGGCGGACTGACCATTTGGAAACTCGGGCACTGCCCGAGGGCCCGGGGTCAGTAGGGGGCCCCATGAGATGCCCCTGGTAACTTTTTCATAGGCTTTTTGAGTTTGGGCAAGGACACAGGGGCCCCATGATCCCCTATTGCCCGGGGGCCCCATGAGTTGTCAGTCCGCCCCGTGTACAACACACGTTGTATGGGGGTGATATTTGTGCCAGTCCTATCACTTCATAGGAACTCCACCTCTCAGCTTGCTCTGTGTAATATCTCCTTTCCCCAATAGAGGGCAGCAGACATCTGTGAGAAACTCCATTTCCTGCACAGAGGTGTACGTCACATCCGGCTGCCACCTGTAAGATGGCGTCTCTCAGTAGGCGGCTTGTGTGGGATGTGTCTCGCTTCCTCAGGTATACAGACTACGTGAGGTGTTATATAGCCTGGTGGTGTCATGTTTATCTGGACCGGAGGGGGGCTGCCGCTACTTTTCACTGTTTTAGGTGGTCCTGGCCGGGCAGCGCGTTTTCTGTCTCGTTGTTTCAGGAAGTAGCAGTGTTGGGGGTTTCCTGGGAGCTGTGTGTGATGACAGGGGACGGCTCGCCGTGTGTGATGACAGGGGACGGCTCGCCGTGTGTGATGACAGGACGGCTCGCCCTGTGTGATGACAGGGGACGGCTCGCCTTGTGTGATGACAGGGGACAGATCTTGCCACTACACCGGCTCGCCGTGTCTGCTACAGGCTGTATTCATCACAGTAAGGTCCTCTGACACCTAGTCAGCCGTTGTGTGGAGGAGGCTGACCTGTCAGACAGGCTGAGGTCATGACTAGGAGACACAGTGATGTCAGAGGAGAAGGTCCAGTCATATGATTGTCCTGTGGGGGAGGGCAGAGTGAGTAGTATATACTGCCAGGCAAAGGTAAGGGCCCCATACATGTTCCCATCTGACTGTATGATCAACCTTAGATCTGCCATACTATGTATTACCAGGACCCGTCCTAACTATCCAATCAGGCAGGCCCTTGCACTACATACTTGTTGGTAGATCCAAAGGAGATTGTACAATCTGGTTGTAACGTGTTATTCCTTCCAGCTTTAGATCTGCCAACAGTGATGTAGTGCAAGGGCCTGATTGGATGGGTTGGGTAGGTCCTCATTTTACATAGTGTTGGTAATTCTATTGTATAAAGATTGTACAGTCAGGTTGTAATGTGTATGGCGGCCCATAAAGCACTATTAAAGTGGGAGGAAAGTCCCACTTGTACCTTCAGGTAGGCTTGTAATAAAGATGACCTGTCAGTACAAGGACTATCTCCTAGACATGCGCCCTGTAGGAGGTAATCAGTGTCCCTGTAGCCAATGACATCACCGGTACATGCGCTCTGAAAGACAGACAATACCTGTGCCATGCTTTCTGAGCTCTGTGTCGCGTCTGAGACACGTGTGTGTGAGAGTGATGTCATCACAGCTCAGCCAATCAAGCAGGCAGAGCCCACAAACCAGGAATACCATGTGAAGGTGTAAGCCCTGTCAGGGGTGACAGCATGCCTCTGGAGGGCTTCGTTCTGAGGCAAGTCTTGCAGTGTATACTGGCACATTGTGACCTTACCCTGCAGGGAGATTTTTTTTTTTTTTTTTTTTTTCCTTGGGACAAGTTACTACCACTTAAGAGCCAAAAGCAAACATTTATTATATTGCAGCTTACCGGTTCTTAGCCACAATGGTTGTGGTTTCTTCTTTTTGGGTTTCTTTCCATTTTCACTTGGTGATCTGACCAGTAAGTCTGTTGTTGTTTCCTTTTTTAACCGCTCCCCGACCCCCCTATAGCAGGAGTACTGCTACAGGGCGGCAGGGATGTGTGTATGTGTGTGTGTGTGTGTGTGTATGTGTATGTGTGTGTATGTATGTATGTATGTATGTATGTGTATATATATATATATATATATATATATACATACATACATACATAATGTATACATACACGAGCCCCCTACCCGCGACGCTATTGGCTCCTCGGCATCTCAATTACCGGGTCCTGGCTGCCGATTCTCAGCTGGGACTTGTTGATCATCAGCAGAGCTGACAGGGGAGAGGTCTGTATGTAAACAACACAGATCCCTACCCTGTGAGCAGGAACAAGCTGCTTTGTATTGCTTTGCACAGCAGAGCAATACAAAGCAGCTTGTCTATACAGTAAAACACACCCCACACTAACCGTTTGGTCGCCCCAGATGTTAACCCCTTCCTGCCCAGTGTCATTAGTGCAGTGTAAGTGCTTTTTATTAGCACTGATCGCTGTATTAGTGTCACTGGGGATATCAGTGGCAGTTAGTCAGTTCCCTCCCAGTGTCAGAATGCCTGCTGCAGAAAGTTCCTGATCACCGCCATTACTAGTAAAAATAAATATTCCAGTATATATACTGCCATTTGTAGACGCTATAACTTTCACATAAACCAATAATTTAAATGTACTGGGATTTTTTTTTAGCAGCGATTAAGTAGCAGAATACATTTGTGGTTTAAATTTATGAAGACATTTTAAATTTTTATTTAATGGATATATTTTATAGCAAAAAGTCAAAAATATAGGTTTTTTTTTTTTTCAAAATTGCTGGTCTTTATTATTGTTTATAGCGCAAAAAATAAAAACCACACAGGCGATCAAATACTGCCAAAAGAAAATATCTATTTTTGGGGGAAAAAAGGACATAAATTTTATTCATGTACCATTTTGCATGACCGCACAATTGTCAGTTAAAATAACAGTGCCGTACCACAAGAAATGGCCTGGCCAGGAAGGGGGGGAGGGGGGTAAATTCTCTGTAGTGCAAGTGGTTAACCAGTTTCCCGCTTGGCCAATAGCACAAAGGCGGCCGGGCAAGCAGCTCGTCCCTCCAGGTGGACGCCATATGGCATCCTTTCAGGCATGCGCACTGTGTCTGCCCGCAGAGCTGCTCAGCGGCGTGACTGTCACCGACCATGACCAATCACAGCAGGTCACATGACAGTTGTATACAATGGATGGCTTCCTTATGCCATCCATTGTATACAAGTGTGGCTAGCTGTGAATGGTCACAGTGATCACATGCACAAGCCAATCAAGCTGTGTCATATGTGAGCCCAGCTGTATCATGTGATTAGCTGTGGCCAAATCACAGTTAATCACAAAAAAAAAAAACCTGAATGAATCGATTTTCATTCAGGTAAATGCTTGCTTATAGCAAAGTAATTCTTTGCTATAAGCAAATTTGTGTTAAAAGAAAATACACTGATCACTTCCCCAAAGTAGTTACAATGTTACTTTGGTAACATTATACACTTTGGTCGTAAAAATAAAAAAAAATCTTAAAATAGAGAAAAATTTTTAGTAAAAAAAATATAATTTTTTTTTTTTCGTACTGTCACCAGTCAGTGTCCCTGATTCCCGCCATGCCAGTTATATGATGACGCTGTACTGTATGTATGTAAGGTGACAGTATGTATATATTCTTTTTTTTTTTTTTTTTTTTTTTTTATTTCCAAAAAATTATGACAAAAAAAATTACAACTTCTAAAAAATCTCGCCGTGCCTCTTATGAAGTACCAGACAGTCTACTCTGCAAAAAGGGGTCATTTGAGGATATTTGTACTGTTCTGAAATTCTTGGACCTCAATTAGATCTGTCAGTACTTCAGGAATCAATAAATCTATACCATAGTTTGTGAACTCTATAACTTTCCTACAAACTAAAAAATACATCCTAATTTTCACCAAAGGACATGTAGCAGAATACATCTTGGCCTAAATTTATGAAGAACAATTATTTATTTGCAAACTTTTATAACAGAAACAAAGAAAAACGTTTTTTTTTTTTTGTTTTCAAAATTTTTGGTATTTTTTTTTGTTAATTTAGCAAAAAATAAAAAAAACGCCCAGCGGTGATTAAATACCACCAAAAAAAGCTCTAGTTGTGTGAAGAAAATGATAAAATTTTAGTTTGGGTACAATGTTGTAACCGCGCAATTGTCATTCAAAGTGTGAGAGGGCTGAAAGCTGAAAATTGGCCTGGGCAGGAAGGGGGGTAAAAGATGCAGATGTAGCAGTTAGAGGGCTGAGACAAACAATTTACCACTGACGGGTGCTTACAATGGTCAGCTTTTATTTATGTAAAACCTTTATCCCAAAAAGGAAAAACAATTGTCTGCTGTAACTGCTTATAAAATATTAGCTGGAGTTTGGCTTCAGCTTTTAGTTTATTTAAATCTGCTAGTACATTTAACACTCCCTTTACCCCCCAACAATGCTGCTGTCAGTATTTTTTTTCTACTGGTCATGTGCTTTCAGAAAATATATGGTTTTGGGGTGAATATTTTACAAACTTTAAAAAGCTCCAGAATTTTAGAGAAATTTTTGCATATTTGATTTTCCCATTTTGCAAAAGGCGCAATTTAAAATGGACAAATATTTGGTAATTATTAACTCGGTACCGGTTAAGCTTTTATATTTAGTAGGAATTTATCAGGAATTTTGTCAATTTTGCTGTGTTTGTATCTGCTAATAATGTTTTCAGTGTATTTTTAGCAAAAATAGCGTTTTGATAAACATTTGCGCAAATATTGTGGGGCCTTAAAAATCAGTAGCACATTTTTTTTTTTTTGTATTCTACTGATCATGTGCATTCAGAAAAAATATCGGGGTGTTGTCATTTGTCTTTTAGAAATTCTGAAAGCTGTAAGTGAAAAAATTGAAAACCTTCAGGTTTTTTACAGAGGTTTGGTTATTTACATTTTGTGTACATTTTTGTTTTTTACCATTTTGCAAAAAGGCGCAATTTAAAATTGACATTTTGTTATTTATTAACTCGGTACAGGTTAAACTTATTTTTTTGCAGGGATTTTTTTTAAATGTGCTGTTTTTTTATCTGCTAAATGATGATTTTAGTGTATGATTTTACTGAAAATATTGCTTTCATTAACATTTGCACAAATAACGCAGTGTGTGAAAAATCAGTGATACCTTCTTTTTTATTCTACTGGTCATGTGCTTCCAGAAAATATATATGGTTTGGGGGTTGGGGGGTCTTTTACAAACTCTGAAAGCTGTAAGGTAAAGATAAAAAAAAAAAAAAAAAAGCAATGGAGAAATTGCAAAAATATTCCGGCCTGCTGAGTTTAAAAGTGGAGTGGCAGGGCCTGGCAGTGAAATGGTTAACGCGGAACTCAAACCGAAACCTTTATTTTAGCGAATGCAGAAGGGTTAGAACTTCTCTTTAGTTTTTCTTATTGGGGGTCTGGACATGAGTGTGGGATAAAGGCAATAATGTCTTGATGTAGGGATAAAGACAATGGGGTGGGACCTCTCTCAGGTTTTGCTTCAGTCTCTGCCCTCCCTGGGAAGATTTCTCTTCACTTCTTGGGTGGCAGCTGGGCCTGAAAAGGTAGAGTGTCCCACCCATGGGGACATAGCCATCAGTAGAAACCTGACAGGTTATTACACCTCCCAATTATCTAAAAGTTTTTTTAAAAAAATAGCAACGCATTCCTTTCAATTGTATGTATTTCTTAAATATTACATGTTTTAAAGAAAAAAAATTGTAATTGATTTTAAGAATATTTGGTTTTCTTTTCCAGGCAGACCTTTCCAATTGTCCATAATAGATCCTTTCTTGAGCCTTTTCAAAGGTTCATGGCGTCGGGTACTTTCTGTTGGAGTTGGGGCAAGTCTCTGTGCTGTTCCTGTGGGGCAGGTAATATAAGAGAACCCATAGCTGTAGTAGTCTTGTGCTATGTTAAAGTGGCTCTTAAGGCTCAAGGTTTTCACCTTCATGCATTCTATGCATGAAGGTATAAACCTTCTGTGTGTAGCAGCCCCCAACACTTATCTGAGCCCCATCCTGATCCAGTGATGTGCACAAGAGCCTCGGTTGTATGGGGACTCTCACTCCCGATTGCCTAAGACAGCAGTAGGAGCCACCGGCTTACACTGCTGTCAGTCACAGCCAGTGAGCCAATTAGGATTGGGGGGGGGGGGCCAAGACACAGCTCTGTGTGTGAATGGACACACAGAGCCACAGCTCGGGAGAGTGCCTGCTCGGGTGCCCCCACAGCAAGCTGCTTTGTGAGCCTATGGTGTCCAAGCTCTTCACTTTAGCCATGCTAAATGCCAAGACTTTTCACAGGCTGCTTATACCTCAAGAAAACCTGTACTATGAGAAATACAGGAGTGGCAAGTGCCAACCTTCTTCTTAAAATATTAGTTGTTGCTCAAGGTAAGCCTGTCAAGTGAGAAATATGGGAGCCGCCATTGCTGACCTTCTTGAAAGAGTGCTAGTTGCCTTCCTGTTATATAAATCGTTAGTTTCCATACTTTCAGTTGCTGGCACAGAACAAGTGTGCAGATGTCAGTCTTTGTCTGCTTACTTGTTCCATGTGAATCAAAGTATTAAAGGAGAAAGGTGAACATGGCATCCGGGTACCGAGCATTTCAGGAGAGGCCAGCAATGCCAGCCTCCTTCTTTCTGTCATGACAGATCTGTTAAGCCAGGTTAACGCCTAATCTGTGTGCATGTTCCAGTTGGTAACTGAGAAAGTGCTGAAGATTTTGAGTGAGCAAAACGGCTAGAGAACTAGTGTTTCAAAGGAAGAGTTTAACAATGGCAGCCTCTATATAGTACAAGTTTCCCTTAACAGTGTGTCTGCACAGACGAAGATTTCAGTTACTGTGTTTGTACAGGTGTTAAGCAAAAAAAATGCAAACACTACATGATTTGCAGGTGTTTCACATTGAAAGCTGAAGTGATGTAACATACTTTTGCCTCTGCTGTGTAATGAGACATCTAGCTAACACGTGAAAAATCTCACTTTCATCATTCACTGCGTGCACTGCTACTAATACGGAGTCATGTCAGAATTTACGGAGCTTCAAAAAGGGCAAATTGTTGATGCCCGCTTAACTGCTGCCTCTGTGACTGAAGTTGCCAGGTTTTTTTTTTTATGTCGCAAGGTACAATATCAAAGGTTATGATGACATATACAGTTTCTGGGAAAACGTCTGATGAGCATAAGCACGGTCGACATGGTCAACTGACCAAAAGAGTCAAAAGGACATTGCACAGGATAATTGCAGTTCAATGTTTGCAAATGTAAAATAATCCACCTGGGGAAAGATTATCCCTTGAGTGAGTACAACATTGGGGGCACGGTGCTGGGCAGCACTTTAGAGGAGAAGCACTTGGGGGTACTTATTTCAGATGATTGTAAAATGAGTAAACAGTGTGGCCAGGCAGTGGGGAAAGCGAATAGAATTCTAGGATGCATCACTAGAGGGGTCACCAGCAGGAGGAAGGAGGTCCTGATTCCCCTTTATAGATCTTTAGTTACACCTCATTCAGAATACTGTGTCCATTTCTGGAGACCTCACTTACAAAAAGATATTGATCAGATAGAATGAGCCCAGAGATGGGTAAAAACAATGGTGGAAGATATGGGGGATAAAACAAATCAAGAGTGACTTCAGGAACTTAACATGTACAGTCTGGAAGAAAGAAGGGAAAAGGGAGACATGATTGAAACCTTTAACCACATCCCCGCCGCCCTATAGCAGATATACTGCTACAGGGCGGCAGGGGTGCGCAAAATGCCATGTGCATATAGGTGATTTTGCATTTCCGGGTAGGGGGCACGCATGCAGATCAGTGTGATTACAGTAAAGCCCACACACGCTGCCACCCAGTAAAACAATCCCAGCACACAGTTAACTCTTTGATCACCCCTCATGTTAACCCCTTCCTGCCCAGTGCCATTAGTACAGTGTCAGTGCTTTTTGTGAGCACTGATCACTGTATTGGTGTCACTGGGGATGTCCGTGATACCAAGTCAGAAATTCTGAAGGACCCTCTGCACACTGGTATATACCCTTTCAAGCAGACTATTGCAATAAATAGGGATATTTGGTTCACACATATTGCAATACATGCTTAAGCTGGCCAACTGCGTCAAAGTAATCCCTCTATGGCCAGTCCTACTCTGCTCTGCCTACGCAAATGCTAATGTGGACACAATGCTAGCATAGGGGAAAAGACACAATGGGGGAGAACTACAAGGTTCAGGTCTGGCTACTGACCCAACAATACAACAAACAAGAGATACCTGTGCTCAAATCCCAACAGCTAGTGCATGCATTTATCCATCAGGTGCTAAAGGGGTGCAACCACATATTAACACTAGAAATTCTGAGGGATCTCTTGTTTGATACCAAGTCAGTCCCCCCCCCCCCCCCCCCCCCCCAGTGTCAGAATGCCCACCGCAGTCCCGCTATAAGTCGCTGATTGCCGCCATTACTAGTAAAAAAAAAAAAAAAAATTCCAGTATATATACCACCATTTGTAAATGCTATAACTTTCATTTAAACCAATTCATTTACATGTATTGGGATCTTTTTTAGCAAAGACATGTAGCAGAATACATTTTGGTGTAAAGGTATGACGCAAAGTGATTTTTTTTTTTTTTTTTTTTTTTTTTTTTACTGTTTAATAGCAAAAAGTCAAAAATATTGTTTTTTTTTCCTCAAAATTATTGGTCTTTTTTTTTTTTATAGTGCAAAAAATAAAAACCGCACAGGCGATCAAATACCACCGAAAGAAAGCAGCTCCGTTCGTGAGAAAAAATGCTCAGGAGGGCAAGTGGTTAAATACATCAAGGGAGTGAACAAGGTTCAGGAGGGCAGGATTTTCAACACAAAACCAAAATCAAGAACACGGGGACATGACCTTCAATTAACTGGAGGAAAGTTAAAGACTAATCTCACAAAGTACTATTTTACTGAAAGAGTAGTTGATGCTTGGAATAGACTTCCAGCAGAGGTAGTGAGCCAGTCAACAGCAAATAGCTTCAAACATGCGTGGTACATGTATAGATCTATACTCAGACAAAAAAAGTTAAGAGAAAAACTCCACTGTCCCTCTCTGTGGTCTCTTTAAAGATCCGATATCTGGAGTTGTCACTTTCCATAAAGCTCTGAGAGAGGATGGTGGGCGTGACTTGATAAAGGAGGCTCCACCTCCAAAATGCATTGTCATAGTAACCTCACGTGTGTTCCTGTCTGGCCCATCAGTTACCTAACTGCGATCTGTCTTTCGTACAGTGCGGCGCCGGCTGGACCTGGTGCATGCGCACTGGGAGGGATTGCCGGTGTCCTGTCATGGCGGATTAATTGGAGACCTGGACAGTCATCTTATCCACCATATGCTGCCATTCCCGTTTGGATGTTACAGAGACCACACAGAAAGTGTACTATGGGCACATTACAGGCTATCCTATTGGCAAATGTGAGTGCAGTTGTTTAAGAATTTTATCGCCGTTTTAATAAACGATATCGCACTAGGGCGGTTGTGCGCTCTTTTGTATTGTTCCAGGCTCGCATCCACCCCCCTGTGGAAGTTTTAGGGAGCTGCAGCGCCCAAAGACTGTGAAATTGACTGCTTTATTCCCAGTCACCCTTGTGGTTTCTATGACCAGTGCACCAGCTATTCTATTTGTATATAAATGATATAAAGGACGAAAGAGAGGCTTCCCACCTGTTGGCTAGGTGTCTCATCACACAGCGGAAGCAAAAGAATGTTACGTCTCTTCCACTTTCAATGTGAAACATGTCTCATTTTCACATCTGCGACCCTCAATCCCACCTTTTCTCCCACACCATCAATCATGTAGTGTTTCCATTTTTCTTGTCCAACCCCTGTATGTATATACCAGTTTCAAATACAAATACTTGTTTGTACCATACTAAAGGTGTCTGAATGAAAATGTGTGTCGGACATCCGCCCTAGCCATACTGGAGTGTCTCACTCTTTGAAAAAATGTTTCATTTATTTCACAGTGTAGAGTTCAGTAGGAAAGTTATCCGGAGGATGGCAGAATCAGGAAATAGATGTTCTCAAGAAATTTAAAAAAAACGGAGGCTAATTTTTCCCCACTGTCTCCTGGTTCCCATTGTTGAGTGGTTCCTTCTTGATTCCTGTACTGATGTTGAGGTTGGCAGGAGAAACCATTCTATGCAGCTGGAAACCAGGAGATCATCACCCTCAGAAGTGTTGGTTGTAGTAGAAGAGTAGAAGATTCAGCTGCTAACATCTCATCAGTGGAATGGCATTCCTTAGGGTGGATAGCTGTAGAGATGAGTACCTTCCCCTTTTTTTTTTTTTTTTTTTTTTTTGTCGGGACAATCTGATTTTCATGACGGGCTTGGTAAGTTTTCAGCTTGGTAAGATTTCCAGTTGTATGCAACGGTTTGCTGATCTCTGCTTAGGCATCATAAAGAAGTTCTCGCTAATGAGGACATTCTCCCTGCAGCTAGTTAGAACTGCAACACAATGCTCTGAAGGGTAATTTATTCTGGCCATTGTCTCTTACAGGGCTATGTTGTATGTAGTTGTAGCTAGGTCACTGTATTTCACTTTAGGTTGGAGCTGTGGTCAGCCGCACATTATAGGAACACTTGTGCACTTGGTACAGAATAACTTTATTCTTCCTCTTTCTATATATTTCTGTCCGGCCACTCAGATGGCGTGATTACTTGTGTCAAAGAATAACCCACAATACAGAAGAAGAATAATAAAGAAACCACAGAGGAAGTGCAAGAGAATACATGATGTAACTCCAGGCTAATGTATAAACCCCCTTTAAATAACTGTATAAACATAAAGAAAATTACTAAATCATATGAAGGGATCCTGTGATAATTGAAAACAAGTCAACTAAAGTAGCCTCTGCATTTCTAAGTCATCCTGATCTTGGCTTATTACCCTAATGGGCCCGTAACCTGTAACATGTACATTGCATAGCAAGTGAAGGCAGGGGCCTGGATGCATTGTGAAATAAGGATGAGGATGAGAACCCTGGAGGCTGCAACAGATGGGAAATGGCAGTTCCATATTTCTGTCCCTCTAGGTCTCCTGTGCTTTTTATTTATTTTTTACCTCCCAAAATCCCTGACCAGGAACTGAATTTTCATATCGGGCTTACTTTGGTGCAAGCATTTAGAGGTAGGTGGAATGGGGTGCTCATGATGTTTCTGGAGTTAGGGCTGTGTCAGGTAATGAATGATTTTTACTGGTATACACCATTCTACCTGCTCAAAAAATTGGTTACCCTTTTTTATTTTTTATTTTAATCTTGCAGGTCTCTCTCATCAACATATTCATCAGCAATTGTATTTTGTACATTTTTGTATTCTCTAGCAGAGGTCGGAGCCAGCTCTATCAAATGAATCCCTCATAAAAAGGGCCGCATCTCTGGTAACAGACAGTACCCAGACGTTCCTGTCTCAGACTACATACGCACTTATTGAATCTCTTACAGAATATACTAAGGTAAGCAAAGTCCTCTCAGTGTGCGTGGTTGGATGTTATATGGCGTACATTCACATAACTAAAACCTTAAAAAGGGGATAAACATAAAATGAATGTTCATATGGTAATACATTAATGCTCATATGGTAAAAACAAATACTGTATCTGCTGACTTTTAATATTAGGGCATTTACCTGTCCAGGCATCCAGTGGTGTCCTCACCCGAGTCAGTTCTTCAATCGGCTATCAGGTGCTGGCGCCACCATCTTGACTAAGGGAAACTGGCAATGAAGCCTTTCTGCTTCTCAGCGGGTCCCCTACTGTGTATGCGCGAAACATGCTACACTTTGTGTTTTGAGTGGAGCTCTTCTTTAACATAATCTGTGAACAGGGTGATGTATAACAGCTGAAAGAAAGGTTGTTTGGAATATTGACTATGCTTTAAAGCCGAACACCGGGTTTACTTTCAATTTAAATAGTTTGTTTAGGCTGACTTTGGCTGAAAAAGACGCTTTCCCTAACTAAGGGTTTAGGGTTAGTATCGGCTACATACAGTATACAGTGCTGTGTTATGGCAAAGGTTTGTTGATTAGTGGTTTGATTACTGTGTCATTTTCTTACATGCAAGCGTGCTAGACAGACTTGAATTAGAGTACTGTAAGTTAAACCAGTACTAGGTTACAGGAGCAAAACCTTCACAGGGTGTAATCAATTTTCATGAAGTTGTGCAACACATGCATGAACTTTTAGTGTGCAAAAGGTTGCAACGGTTCCTCCTAAAAGTGTGAGAGCATTTGTTTGGTAGTCTGAAAATCATTCACTTTTGTCCACTGATAACTATGCATAGGTTTGTTGGCTAATTCAAGCTATGCATGATATAAATCCTAAAAAGTGGGTGTGCATGTCAGTTGCAAAAGTGATCTTTGAAGTGTTTGTTTTATGACTCCTACGTGTACTGGTAACAAATGATTTAAACCTTTTTTTTTAACCTTTTTTAATACAGGCTGTGTATACACTTGCCTCACTTCATCAAAGATATACCTCTCTTATGAACAAATTGAACTCTAATGAAGAAAGTGCCATCTGGCAGGTGATCATTGGGGCACGTGTACAGGTAATCCTGATTATTCTTCATTTTGCCAGATTGACACCACATGTAAAAATAGGATTGCAACATGCTATCCTGAAGACTAATAGGTCTCACAATTTTCATCTGTGTGTGTTGTAGCAGTACAGTTTTTTACATACTGGTGAAAAGGGACTGTGATCTATGACTACTTCAAGACGACAACTGCTGTTATCGCTTGGCCGCTGCCTTATAGCAGATGTACTGCTACAGGGCGGCACGGCTGCGCAGAATCGCGTGCATGTGTGTTATTTGCATTTCCTGTTGGCATGGATGTGCTTCTTTGTATCTCTCTGAGTTTTACTAAGTGTGCTATGTGTGTGTTTATACTTTGGAGACATGCTGTTTTGTACCTCTTTGCTGTCCAGAGAGATACAACACCGCAAGTCCATGCTGACAGGAGAGAGACCTGTGTTGTTTACTCTCTGTTAGCTTTCACTGACGAGACCTGGTGAATGACATCCCTAGCCGCTAATGGCCATGAGGGTCAGGCAGCGCGTACGCCCCCTACCCGGGAGTGCAAATCGCGTATCTCTGCTATAGGGTGGCGAGCAAGTGGTTATCTAGCCCCTTCCTGACCAGGTTAAAACAAACTTTAACGCAAATTTGGCAACTTTGACGTGTTAGTATAACTGCACATATCATTGAGACTACTTGATGTATCCAGGTAGATTATACCTTGTTGTGCTCCTGGACACAAAGGGGTTTATTTACTAAAGCTGGAGAGTCCAAAATCAGACTCCCTTCTGCATAGAAAACAATCAGCTTCCAGGTTTCATTGCCAAAGCTTCATTGAACAAGCTGAGGTTAGAAGCTGATTGGTTTCTATGCAGAAGGGAGTCTGATTTTGGACTCTCCAGCTTTAGTAAATAAACCCCAAACTGTCCATGTTCATGGATGCACACCTATCCCTAACTGCAGATAATCACTCCTTCTATGATAACATGCAAATAGATGCAGACTGCAACAGAGAGCGTCCTCACGTAAGCTGGCTGTACCTGCCTCAAAATATCTGATCTGAGTGGTGTACGGTCCTAGTCGTCCTTGTGCATGAGTGCATAAGATTGTAAAGCAAAAAAACCGACAAATTTGTTTTTGGTTTGTAAATGTGTATCTTGTTAAACATGTAACCATTTCTTCATGTGCTTATTTTGGTTAATCTGCTGGAGAGAGGGGGGGATAATGATATACTCAAATGTTTCTTTATTGTGGTCTTGTGTTCCTGTTACTGATAAGGTTTGCTAGTTTTTGTACATATTTCTTCATTGCGGTCTCAACTAAAAAATTAAAAACTACATTGAGAATCTGTTTACGGAAGGCAGTGTGGATAATTTACTAAAACCAGAGTAGACGGAATCTAGAGTGGCTGTATTTATACAATATTTTATAATTTAAATAGTTCCGCAGTTTCAGCTTGTTCAGTTAAATTTTGAAAATGAAAGCTAGAAATGTATTGTATACCATGCACAGCTGCTCCAGATTCTGTCAGATCTTGTTTCATTAAATGCCCCTCAGTGAGTCTTTATAGCAAAGCCTGCTGTGCTTACTAATATAAAATAAAACAGGGACACAAAGTAAGGGGACAATAGTTATTCCCACTAGTCCAAGTCAAGAGTCCACGGACCTGCAATAAATACGTAGGTGTGGTACTCGTAACCAAGGTCATACAAAAAAAGCCGTCTGTTCTGCTACCATGTTATTGAGCAAAGTGTATAGCTACAGGGCTAACATCATCTTAACCATTTGCCGCCCGGCCAATGGCCGTTTAGCGGCTGGCAAAATCCCTCAGCGTTCAGGGTGGACGCCATATGGCGTCCTCCCGGGCATGCGCAGTTTGCGCGCCTGAATAGCCGCGCAGCAGCCCGATCTGTCACCAGCCGTGTACCTCAGACACGGCCGATGACGGATCTGAGTACCGGCCCAGTTGCCAGTACCATGTGACCTGCTGTGACCAATCACAGCAGGTCACATGACAGTTGTATATAATGGATGGCTTCATTCATGCCATCCATTGTATACTAGTGTGCCTAGCTGTGAATGGTCACAGCAATCACATGCATAAGCTAGGCCAATCAAAGCCCAGCTGTGTCATGTGATTAGCCGTGGCCAAATCACAGCTAAGCAAAAAAAAAAAAAAATACTGATCACTTCCCTAAAGTAGTATAATGCTACTATGGTAACATTGTACTACTTTGGTCATAGTGAAATATATGAAAAAAAAAAATGTAATAAAAAATTAATAATAAAAATAAATTAATATTTTTTTTCATACTGTCAGTGTCCCTGATCACCACCATGCTAGTTATATGATGACGCTGTATTGCACTGGTGACAGTATGTTAAAAAAAAAATTGTGAAAATTTTTTTAATTTTCCAAAAAATACAACTTCAAAAAACTCGCCATGCCTCTTATGAAGTACGTCGGACTGTCTACTCTGCAAAAAGGGGTCATTTGGGGATATCTGTACTATTCTGACATTCTTGGACCTCAAGAAATTAGATTGGCTGTCAGTACTTCAGGATTGATCAATATTCAGATCTATACCATAGTTTGTGAACTCTATAACTTTCCTACAAACTAAAAATACATCCTAATTTGGGTTATTTTCCCCAAAGACATGTAGCAGAATACATCTTGGCCTAAATTTATGAAGAACAATTATTTATTTGCAAACTTTTATAACAGAAACAAAGAAAAACATGGGTTTTTTTTTTTTTTTCAAAATGTTTGGTCTTTTTTTGTTAATTTAGCAAAAAAATAAAAATCCCAGCGGTGATTAAATACCACCAAAAGAAAGCTCTAGTTGTGTGAAGAAAATGATAACATTTTAGTTTGGGTACAACGTTGTATGACCGCGCAATTGTCATTCAAAGTGTGAGAGCGCTGAAACCTGAAAAATGGCCTGGGCAGGAAAGGGGTAAAAGTGCCCGGTATTGAAATGGTTAATATTCCTGATGTGTTGACTAATGCAGACTCTCAATTGGGCTTGGTTTTTCCAACGTAGTATTTCTTACATGGGCATTCTACCATGTTGGCTTGGGGAGGATGACGCTTACTGGAGCAATGAACTGACGCAGTGGTAAGCTCCATACAGGGTGCCAGCCGGTCTAATGATAACAGGAGGTGCCAGGGGACGATCTGCAGATCACAACAGCTACACTCTGGTGGCTTGTATACCAACTGGAATCTGCAGGAGTGCATGGGGATCTGAGAGACTGTCTATGTGCAATTAAGAGCAGTTTGGTGGCTATGAACTGCACAGCCTCATCTGCCAATATACTCAGTCCTATACTGTCTGCTTTTGCCTATACAAGGTGTATTAACGTTCACAGCGGTTATGGTTGATGTTGGCCTAACCCAGAGATATCTGGTACCCATTAGAAAGTAATTTTCTCTAGCCAACTATGATGAATGGACCTTTGGGGGTCCTGACCTTGAACTTGGGCATATGTGTCCTGTTATTTAAAGCTATATAAAGCCATTTTGGTTTGGTCTTTACCCCCCTATGGGATTTTTAGGAGTAGATCCTTGGCTTTTAGACACTGAACCTTTGGGCGGTGTGACTAGTTGTGTATGAGCAGCTGCTATCTGGTGCTTCTGTGAAAACGGTGTAATGTTTTAATGGTGAAGGGTGGATGTAGGTATGTTTTTTTTTTGGGTAATGCCTGTTTTTGTAACAGTATTTTATACATTCCAGTGTAATTTGTCAAACTGTTCGGTCCTCCTTGTGGTAAACCGATCTATGTGTGACTTCTTAGTCCGAGTATCTGCTCTCCTGCCTCTTTAGCTAACCTATACCCTCATTGCTTTTGAATGTTCTTTTTTGTTTTTAGGTTAAGAAGTTACAGGACGAATATGTGAAGTATGAGGCTAACTGGATGCGAGCTGTAAGAATATCAGAGATGGCAGCAGAAGCAGCATACCTTGCTGGTAAGAGCTTTGTACAGAATTACACTGTTCTATTGCTTTGCTTGCTGGAGGACTTTCTGAATGACTGTGTTCTTTCTCCAACAATTCAGTGTCTGTGTCTGGCCCCCTAGTACTTACCTGAGCCCCATTGTGATCCAGCGGTGTGCACGAGAGCCTCGACTTTCTTACGACTCTCCCTCCTCATTAGCTGAGACAGCAGTAGGAGCCATTGGCACCCGCTGCTGACAATCACATTCAGTGAGCTAATGAGGAGAGAGAGGGGTGGGGCAGAGCCATGACTCTGTCTGAATGGACGCCATGCAGAGCAACGGCTCTGGAGCGAGCCTGCTTGGGTGCCCGCATAGCAAGCTGCTTTGGGGGCACTTGGCAGGAGGGAGGGGCCAGGAGTACTGGCAGGGGACCCAAGAAGGTAAGTAAAACATGTTTTGTTCTTTATTTATTTTTTAGCATTGCCTTTTAATATCACTTTAAACGTCAATGTATCATGTTTTTTACATTGTTTTCTTTGACTGAAATGTGGATGTAATGTGCAACCTGCTTCAAAATTAAACTGTCCTTTTATTTATTAAAACTTCAAAAGGGCTTTAGTTCACATTGTACCTGATGATCCATTCCAAGGCTAGATACTGACCTGTAGAAGATAGCTGAGATGGTTCCCTGACATTGCGTGCCAAATTACAGCAACTTCCAGGGGACTCCTGAGAGCCATTTTTACAGTCTTGACATCTTTTTCCAGGGCCATAATTTACTTGATGCACTAGTCTAACTTTTTTTTTTATTATTTCATTAAAAAAAGTGTGTGTGTGTGTGTGTGTGTGTGTGTACACTTTAAAGAAGAACTATGGACAAAATTTTTATTTTCCCATGCAGTGGGGCTGTACTGCCTGGGTTAACTGCTTGTTTTGTCCAGGGGTGCAAGGGAAAGCTATACTCACCCAATCCTCCAGAAAACATAACATATCTTGCATATCCAGTGGTGGACTGTTCCTGCCATCCTCGCGTCCACAGCGGTCTTGTGTCTCCATTCACAAGACCACTAGTGTTCGGGGGTGCAGGAGTGGCAGGGACCGTGCTTGCACTCGGAGGATCTGTGGATTAGGTAAGTATATCTCCACTGTAATCCCGTAGACAAAAATGAGCTCTTAACCCATAGAGCCCCACTGCATTGGAAAATTTAAATTTTTTCCAACAGTTTTTCATTCCTTGTCTGCTATTTCTGACTTCCTTGTCTGCTGTTTTCTGACTTCCATGTCTGCTATTTGACTACTTCTCTGTTTCTGACTTCCTTCTCTGTTTCTGACTTTCTTCCGAAAAGACTAATTGTTAAACCAGAATGCAGCTTGTGTGAGCTCCTGATCTTTAGCTTTGTTACCTGTCAGTAACTTAGAATGCACTAAAGCCATTAGACCAGTATGAATGCCAGGCAACTAGCTAGTTCAGGAGAGGTTAGAGGTGGCAGTTTACATATTTCTGTTATGACAGTTTGTTTTGTTTGTTTTTTGTTTTTTTGGAGTTTCTATTGTTAAATGTACTTTTATTAAACAGGTGCTGATCAAGCTTCTGTGACAGTGCGGAATCACATTCAGCTGGTCCAGACACAAATACAAGAGACACGCGTGAGCTTGCTCTTAAGGCAGAAGCCTTGCTAGCTTCTGTCCAGTCAGAGGAAATCAAGAAAGCACTTACAGAAGACAAAAACAATCCTCCTGATGGGGGCAGTCCAATGAGCAGCTTGTCAGACGAAGAGGTCCCAGAGGCTTACTTGCGAGAAGACTGAATAGTTTTTTAATAAATATTTTCTTTTCATACACCTTTTCTCCTGGAGCAACCATCAGTGCAGTGCCTGACCTGTACTGCTGATCATAGTACAGAGCCAATATTGGAAGTCCTAGGTGAATGAAAGACAGTTAAAATATTTAAAAGAGACACTATATTATATATAAAACACTCCTGACCGTGAAATAGTTAACTAACCAGCACAATGAACATACAAAATATGCCTTTTTTTTCTGCACGTTTGTTTAGCAGAAAATATTGTCTTTTTTTTTTTTTTTTCATTCTTGTAAGGACAGTGCCACAGTAGAATCTCCTGCTTCAAATCCCATGGTACAGTATTGTGTTAGTGGTTTTGACTCTCTTTTTCAGTCTACCAATCTGTCTCTGTTGGAACATGAACAAACATGCACTGAACTTTATCCAGATATCCTTTCAACAGTGGGAGCTTTCTATTTAATCATGTTGTGGAAAAGAACTTTGTGTGTGATGTCAGACCCAATGAAACGGCTTTAGAAAGAAAAGACAAATTGATAGACTTGGCAGCCAATCACTGATTTTTATTTTGACAGTTTTAATAAAATTAACCTTATACCAAATATGTTCATGTTTTGACTCTGGGTTCTTTTATCATTAAACAGTTGGCAATTTTGCTGTTATGAAAAAAAATTATTAAAGTGGAACTCAAAAATATTTTTTTTGTATCAAGAAGTGCATCAAAAATCCAAACTTTTTTTTTTTTTTTTTTTAATCGTTTCAGAGACCATGTTGAGGGTTAAAACTTCTCTCAGGGTTTATTGCTGTCCGTATTCCCAATGGTGAGATTTACCCTTTCCATTTGTCTTTGTATCCATTGTATTTCCCTTGCTTTCTGTTATTATTATTATTATAATACAGGAACAGTTTGTGCAGCGCTTTACAAAATGAAGACAGACATTACAGTCACAATACAATTTAGTACAAGAGGAATCAGGGGGCCCTGCTTGATATAACATATTATTTGAGCTGTATGAATTGGAAGATTCCCCTCCTATTCTATTCTTGTTTCACTTGTTCCAGTAATTTCTTCTTACTTTTTTGGTTTTCCCTCCACTTCCTGTTGTGTGATCAGGACTGAAAATGAAGTACAGTCATGGCCAAAAATATTGGCACCCCTGCATTTCTGTCAGACAATGCACCAGTTTGCCAAGACAATTATTGCAATTACAAATTTTTAGGCATTCTCATGTTTATTTCTTTTGTTTGTATTGGTATGACACAAAAAAATAGAGAAACAAAAAGCCAAATCTGACACATTCCACTCAAAACTAGACAATATTATTGGAATCTTCTCAAAATTTGTAAGAAAATAATTGCATTACAAGTTTGTAATGCTCATGTAATTTGTAATAAAACTTGCCTGTGTTAGCTACCAGATCTTAATGTTCCTGTGTCCACTGTGAACAACATTGTCAAGAAGTTTACAGGTAATGGCACTGTAGCTAATCTCCCTGGACGTGGATGAAAGAGAAAAGCTTGATCAAAGATTGCAACAAAGGATTATTCGAATGGTGGATGAAGAACCTCAACTGATTTCCAGACAAATTCAAGCTGACCTTCAGGCACAGGGTTACAACTGTGTCAGCTCGTACTATATGTCACCATCTGAATGAAAAGGAACACTATGGTAGGAGACCAAAGAGGACCCCACTGCTGACACAGAAACATAAAAAAAAGCCAGATTGGAATTTGACGAAACGTACCTGAGGAAGCAAAAATCCTTTTGGGAGAATGTGCTGTGGACAAACAAAACAAAATTACAGCTTTTTGTTAAAGCCTATCCTACTGTTTTCAGAAAAAGAAATGAGGCCTTTAAAGAAAAGAAAAAAAAAAAAAATACAGTCCCTACATTCAAACTTGGAGGTTCACTGATGTTTTGGGGTTGCTTTGCTGCTTCAGGCACTGGCTGTCTTGCCCGTGTACATGGCATGAAATCTGAAGACTACCAAAGAATTCTGGGGTGCAATGTAGGGCCCAGTGTCAGAAAGGTGGGTCTCCGTCAGAGGTCATTGGTCTTATGGCAGGGCAATGACACACGTCAAAAAGCACCCAGAAATGGTTTAGGACAAAGCGCTGGAGAGTACTGAACCGGCCAGCAATGATTCCAGATCTTAATCCCATAGAGAACCTGTGGAGAGATCTCAAAACAGCAGTTGGGAAAATGAACCCTGCTGATCTGAGAGAAAAAGAAGAGAGGTCCAAAATTCCAGTAGAGAGGTATAAGAAACTCATTGATGGTTACAGGAAGCAGTTGATTTCAGTTATTTTTTTCAAAGGAGTGTGCTACCAAATATTAAACTGAGGATGCCATTAATTTTGTCTAGTTAATTTTTTGCGTGGAATGTGTCAGATTTGGCTTTGTTTCTCCACCTTTTTGTCATACCAATACAAACAAAAGGAATAAACATGAGAATGCTGAAACATTTGTAATTGCAACAATTTTTTGGGGGCAAAGTGGTGCATTATCTGACTGAAATGCAGGGGTCAAGAGAGCAAGGGGTGGGTTAGAGCCGCACTGCATGTGTCAACAAACATAGTGCAGCTTGGGATCAAGTGGCATGCCAGAGGGCACTCATAATGCAGGAGAAGCCAGGTGCGCAGGTGTGGGACCCCAGAAGAGGAGGTTAGGGACTGCTTTGTGAAAAAAACGTTATACAGTGGGGAAAATAACTATTTGATGCCCTGAAGATTTTGTAAGTTTGCCCAGCTACAAAGAAATGAAGGGTCTATACATTTTTTATCATGGGTGTATTTTACATGATTGAGAATATCAACCAAAAATCCAGAAAAAAAAACACATGATACAAATGTTATAAATTGAGTTGCAATTCAGTGAGTAAAATAAGTGTTTAATCCCCTACCATCAATAATTCTGGCTCCCACAGAATGGCTATGTGCTCTTGTGGTACACAGATTCCTGTTAATTTAAGAAGGTGCTCCTAATGACAAATTGTTTGTGTATAAAAGACAACTGTCCACAGAATCTCTTTCTTCCATTCAAACCTCACCACCATGGGTAAGAACAAAGAGCCGTCAAAGGATGCCATGGACAATATTGTAGACCTGCACAAGGCTGGAATAGGCCTACAAGACCATCAGCAAGAAGCTTGGAGTGATTATTCGCAAATGGAAGAACTACAAAATAACCATCAATTGCCCTCGGTCTGGAGCTCCATGCAAGATTTCACTTCATGGGGTAAGGATTATCATGAGAAAAGTGAGGGATCAGCCCAGAACTACACGGGATGAGCTTGTGAATGATCTCAAGGCAGCTGGGACCACAGTCACCAAAGAAACCATTGGTAACACAACATGCCGCCATGGATTGAAAGCAAGCAGCACCCGCAAGGTCCCCCTCCTCAAGAGGGCACATGTACAGGCCCATCTGAAATTTGCCAATAAACATCTAAATGAATCAGCGAAGGATTGTGAGAAAGTGCTTTGGTCAGATGAGATCAAAATTGAGCTCTTTGGCATTAACTCGACTCTGTGTGTTTGGAGGAAGAGAATGCTGACTATGACCCTAAGAACACTATCCCTACACTCAAGCATGAAGGTGGAAACATTATACTTTGGGTCTGTTTCTCTGCTAAAGGTACAGGCAGACTTTGCCGCATTGAGGGCCAATGGACGGGGCTATGTATTATAAAATCTCGGATGAGAACCTTCTTCCCTCAACCAGAACACTGAAGATGGGTCGTGAATGGGTCTTACAGCATGACAATGACCCAAAACATACTGCTTTGGCAGCAAAGCAGTTGCTCAAGAAGAAGCACATCAAGGTCATGGAGTGGCCTAACTAGTCTTCAGACCTTAATCCAATAGAAAATTGGAGCTGAAACTTTGTTGCCAAGCGACAGCCAAGAAAACGTAAGGATTTAGAGAAGATCTGTAAAGAAGAGTGAACCAAAATCCCTCCTGAGATGTGTGCAAACCTGGTAACCAACTAAAAGAAACCTCTTACCACTGCGCTTGCCCACAAGGGTTTCTCCACCCCAAGTACTAAGTCATGTTTTGCTTGGGGATCAAATACTTACTGAGTTGCAGTTTAGTGGGTAGAATAACATTTGTATTGTGTTGTTTTTTTTTTTTCGGGATTTTTGGTTGATATTCTGTCTCTATCATTTAAAATACACCTATGATAAAAATGATAGACCCTTCATTTCTTTGTAAGTGGGCAAATTTACAAAATCTGAAGGGGATCAAATAATTATTTTCCCCACTGTACAGAGGAGGTACGTATAACATGTTTGTTATATAAGATCCTTTGCAATCACTTTTCAGTGGACCTTTGCTCTAACTGTGAAATTGTCCTCCCTTGCCTCCTTCCCCCTTCTCTCTTACCAACTGACTTTTTTAAGGACCTTATGTGTACTTTGGTTTTTCTCATCTAGGCGAGACTTTGAGCCCACCGCTGCACATGTGCAGATATGCAGCAGGGCTCAGATCCAAAGAGAGCCCTGTGGCACATCTGCACATATGCGGGGTACCCAGCCATTTGCACTCAAGCGGGAGTTTTCCTGCACTTGCACAAAGACAGCTAAGAGGGAAGTCTAAAACCTTCCCTGTCTGTGTGAGTGTGCATCAATTCCATTGTGCCTGCACAGAACTGCTAATGGAGTCTGCCAAGAATCAAAGGCTGATACAGTGGGTGTAACTGTGCATGTGCCATAATGGTGGTTCCTGGGGGGCGGGGCCACCTAAGAAGGCGGACTGAAGTAATGACAAAATTATTGCTAAATAAAAATTCCTTGAGTGGGAATGTAAACATTGTTCTAGTTCATAAGGCATGGTATGGGAGTCGAAATGGTTAAAACATAAAAGAAAGTCTTGAGTAGAGTGTTGCAGTAATGTTTTGGTAAACAGGTTTATGGAAGTGTCCGTTGTGTACCACTTAGTTCATATGTTTGTGTCTGTCCGCTCCCGAGCGATGAAATTCTCCCTTGCAAGGGAATTTACTAAGAC